GCAGGGAATGGGGAAAAAACAAGAACCAAGATACATCATGTAAAGGTACAAGTTCCCAATGAGAAATGTAAATGTATCGTATACCTAAAATGTACCAATAAAAGAATTAAAAACATATTTAGACCTTTAATCCTTTTCAATTTTAGTTTAGTGCATTGAGAGATATAGGTCTAGTTTTAATCTTTGGCAAGTTGCAATCCAGTTTTTTCAGCACCATTTATTAAAGAGGCTACCTTTCCTCCAGTGAGAGTGTTTGGCTACTTTGTTGAAGATGAGGTGGCTGAGTGTGTCTGGAGTTGTTTCTGCATCTTCTAATCTGTTCCAGTGGTCCTCATGTCTGTTTCTTTGCCAGTACTATACTCTTTTTATTACAGTAGCTTTGTAGTACAGTTTCAAGTTGGGGGTTGTGATACCCCCTCAGAAAAGTATTGAAAATAGTAGTGATTGGAATCATAGTGAGAAAATACAAAATCTAGGAAGTCATCACCTGGCTATCACCTTATGTGGAAAAAGGCATATAATCTAAAATAGCAAATGAATATTAAAGAACTCATGTGAATAGAATCTGAGCCTTATTAACCAAACTGAAGAAGCATCTTTCAATCAAAAATATTAACTTTATAATATTTATTTATGACCAGTTGCTTTCATATTTACTTCATTTTAATTAACAAATATTCATTGAATTTCTTCTAAGTACCAGTAATTTTGCTAAGCATAAATCAGAAATGTATTCTAGAGTCAATTTCCACCAACATGGTAAAATCAGTGCCTAACTTACTCACTTTTGTTTTATTATACCTTACTCTCTGTCTCAAAAGCTTACATATTCCCTGTAACTAGAGTTATATACAATTATACAGAACTGAGATAGCTTGGAGCTTGCCAAGAATTGCAAAACAAATTATGCAAATAGGGTACAATCTTTAATATAAAATTTCTATGAATTTGTAGGAAAAGTGCCATTGTTCTGAAAGATATTATGAAGAAAGATAAGTCAATTCTCTCCAGCTTTTATTTTGAATGAGCTTTAGTTTTCATATATTGAAATTTGTTAGTGTTCTATTTATAATTACTGAATCTGATTAATGAGGAAGGTTAAAGTGCTGTGTTTTATGCTATGATTTTCTCCACGAAGTCTTAGTATTAAGTTTTCCTCCAGGGAAAAGAGAGACACAAGTCATTGAATCTATGTTAGGTGATAAAGTAGATGTCATGTATTTTAAGTTTCATTTTAAGATTACCATGAAAACCACGTTTGCTTTAGTGAGCAGGGCATGGCCAGAGAAATGGTTAAACTCAGACTGCTGCCTTTCCTTAGGGAGACCAGAAGGTGACTCATTCATTGGTGACTCTATTGAGGATGTTTATCATGTGCTTTCTTATTTATTTCCTCATCACTCTAGTGCCAGGAGATCAGCCTCAATTAAAGGAAAAGGGGGAAAAAAAGGAAACAATTCTTTGGGCAATTAATTTTGGCAATTGCTCCATAATATCTTTTTAAACCCTCTTGGAGTCTCGTAAGAGTGTCACTGTACTAAAGGCTCAGGGAAGTGTGTAGGAAGAAAACGAGCTCTGATGAACCCAACGTGTCCCACATTAATTTGACCATTTTAATGACACCTCAGACTATTACTAATATCTGGAACTTGTTCTGGGGATCACTATTTGCTGGCCTAGACTGGCTGCCCTGGGGAATTTTCATAAGAATAGCGTCAATAGAAAAATAAGTAGAACTCAGCACATGTATGTGTGCGTATGTATGAGACAGAGAGAGAGAGAGAGGGAGAGGGTCAGAGAGACAGATTAAAAGACAGACTCAGGGACCTGATGATATCACATTTAAATACATATTCCAATACTTCCTGATCTTGCAGTGTTTTGACCAATTATATTTGTATTTTGGTTAACTCTGAGATTGCCAGGAAAAATGGTGTGATACCATCATTAATATAACTAGAATAAAGACAAAGAAATTAAACATTGTTCAGACAAAAGAAACCAATCCTTAAATGACACATATAAAGAAAGCAAGCTTCTAAAAGTTGTTTCTGTGAACTTTCACTTTTTGAAACATATGGTACAGTTCTATTCATTCATAACATTGTCCTTAATTATGTATATTTAAATCATGACATTTCATTTTAAATGAACCCAGATATATGTTTCACTTTTTGTTAAATACATCTTTAAAAATCATTGAAATTGTTTTGCTTAACAAGTACTTTTAGGTATTTGTAAGCTGATACATTAATTAATACACTGGAATTCTTTTCTTTTTTAAGAAGTGAAATATAATTATCGTGAATTCAATGCTTATGCTAGTTTAGGAGGTCCATAGTATAGTATGACTATTTTATATACTTAATTCATAGACTCTATATTTCTGAATTACTTTAGAAGAGCAGAAACTGCCCATAGCTTTGTCGTCGAATTATGACGTATTTGTGAGATGTGTGTGTGTGTGTGTGTGCACGTGCGCTTGCATGTGTGGATGGGAGATAGAGAGTAGGAGAGGGTGAGAGAGCAAGAGAGTGAGAGAGAGAGGCAGAGAGAGAGAGAGAGAGAGAGAGAGAGAGAGGGAGAGAGACATTTGAGTAGTTAATTGAATAATATGAGTCTCTGTATCCAGGTATTCATGGGGGAACTGGTGAAGGAAGGAGTTAAGAACATCTCTCGAGTAAATAACAAATTTGATGCAGTTATCTCTCAATTAATATTAAATTGTATTGTTATTTTAAATGTTCATTAACATGAGCTCTCCAAATAGTTTTGACTAACAAATCTTTTATCAAACTATTCCAACAGAATCAGGTAGTTGCTCTGCTCATATTGATGATCCAGGTTTTAGACATGATTCTGATTTTGGATCTTGTAAAGAATACACACACACACGCCTGCGCGCGCGCGCGCACACACACACACACACGCACAAGACATCTGGTAACTAACAGCAATCCAATTCTCTACTTGTCAGGCCCCATTACCTTTTCTCCTAAGCAGCCCTATTTTGTAGGTCAGCTTTCAGCAGAGAAAAAGGGGAGCTCTCCAGGTATGTGACATGCTCAATCTAGGAAAGTAACATCCTGTTTAAAATATATTAAAAGACTTGGGTTTTTCTTTATTGCAGGCTGTAGAATGCTACACCTGATTACATCTTCTGTCTAAACTCCTGGTATTAAGAGGATCTCAGTGGCAAACCTGCCACCTCCTCAAAGATCATTCCCTAGATATTGGCAGAAACCGCCCTGGGTCCCAGTGCTCCTGAGTAACATCTTGTCCTTTAGGATTCATTCCAGCAACCGCTTCAGAATGTCATTGTGCACAAAGCACTGGAATATTGTGTATCACACATTAGAATTTCATAGCCCTGTGTGTTTTTTGTTTCCTTTTTCAATATTATTTTAGATTTACACTATTCTGTTTCTCGTTTCTACTTCTAGTTTTCCTAATGACATTGGTTTTTAATGTAAAGTTTACATTACCTTCCAAATAATTTCTTTAAAAAAAACCCATTTTTTGTGGAAATTGAGTAACTCAAAGATCTTTATATTTAAAGATCTTTATGCCACATCACAATAGTGGCTTCTAAATCTTCAACATATATAAGATGAAAAAATGGCCATTCTTGTATTGGATATGACACTGGTTACTCTACTCTCAATGTTCAGTTGAAAAAACAGCCATGGCTTTTTCCATGGTCCCTACTAATATATATGTAGTTTTAAAACAAACTGCTCACACAAAATCACAAACTTCATTGCCTTCAACATTATAATCTATTTTTATATATCAATCAGTTATTTGTATTCTGGGCTGTTAAGTGAGACAGTGTAGTTCTATTTCCTACATGGTATATTTGCATGTGTTCCAGAGGTTAAACTGACAGTGTTAGTCCTTTGCTTTGAGGCTGTGCCCATGAAATCAAGCTAGAGAGAGGAACAGGCGGAACTCTCTGGTGACAGCCTAAGACATATGAGATGTATGAGGAGTAGAGCTATGGACTTAAAGTGTATAATATAAAGTATGTAATTGTTGGCTTCAGGCATCACTGAAAATAAATTTCCCAAATGGCAATCAAAAGTCAGTATAATTGAAGAGTGGGAAAAATATTAGTGGACAATGGGCCATCCATGGTCATTGGTGTCTTATTCTTTTTCTGTGTACATGATTATATTGTATTTCTATAAAATGTTTTATTTGTTGGAATTACATTTGCTCCCTCTCTATGTTGGTAGAGAGTGGGTTGATATGAACTTATATCTAGGAAAATAACATAAAGTAAAAAATGGATGTGTCTCCATATATATTATATATAATGGCCCTTTCTATGGTTTAATAAAAGAAAAACAGCATTACTAATCTTTACTTGCTGATTTGCAGTTGGACTAAATAATACAATAGTTAAAACTTCAAAAATTATAACCAGCATAAACATTATTTGTGGCAAAGCAAAATGCAATTATCACACACAAAGGGTCCATGATCTTAATTTGTATCACATAATAATATCATTCACAAAATTTAAATTTCAAGTTCCATTTAAACAGGTTTTCTTAAACTTGTGCATAAAGATATTGATTTATAAGCTATACTTCTAAACAAGGTTTATACCGTGAAGTTCAGTTAAATGTCCTTAATCCTTAAGATTGCTTCTGACTCCCTTTTAGGAGTGAATAAAGGTGGTTGGTGGACTGAGGTCATGAACTCCCCAAGAAGCTTTAGAAGGACGTGAATGAGGATAAATTGCTTCCCTTTCCTTCTGGCTCCACATTACTCTTGCCTCAGCTTTTGAAATGAGATGCATATGGAAACAATTGCTCCTGGATCATTTCCTCTCCTCTCCAGGTGGGCTGAGTCCCCTCCACACTACTTTGTAAGCCATGCTGCTCAACTCCAAGGTCAGGGGTTAGTACAGCCAGCCCTGAATGGTCTGAGTCAGCCACCTGACCCTAACCCTTGCTTTTCAAAAAGGAACATATGCAGCATTTCTGAGCTTCATTAGTTGAATGCAGCACTTAATACAACACTTCATCTTTCTAAGAAATAAATAAGATGCATAATATTTGCTCAAGGTGAAACTGCTAGTTAAATAATAAAAGGGATGGATAAGAACCTAACTGCTTGTTCTCTGACCCTCCACAGATGCCTCATGGGTGGCCTTGCCACCCCTCATGATCATAGTCCTCCAAATTTAGAGGTGCGAGTCATGAAAGATTTCCATCTATTCCATTCCATCGGGGTCCTTTTTCAAAGAAGGTAAATCTAATCATTTATTTAAATTGAAAAGTTATTACACATTTAGCTCTTATACCAATGTGTCTTGGTTATGGTTTTTTGATGTAGCACAACATTTTATGGAGCAGGGAGTGATATTTCAAATGTGACATTATTTTAAAACATATGAAGAAAATAATAGGAACTGTAAACCCTTTTATCCCTACTTTGAATGCTTTCAAAACACATAAAACATTAGAGGTTATACTACTACACACTAGACTGAAGCAGCATTGTTTCTTCTTTAAATTTCAGTATAACTTAACATTCAAATTATTAAAAAATAGCTTCACAAAAATCAATAAAACTTGATATATTAAGAGCTTCCCAAATTAAATATGATAGATTTGGCTCATTGGCATTCTCATTGATTTGATTATGTATTTTTCTTATTTATAAAATTATTTTGGAAGAACAATGCAGTATCATTTTGCCCAATTTCCACATTCCACAATTTATAAGTCAAACTGCCAATATGCACAGAAATAAAAGATTTGTCTGAAAGTCACACCCAGAGTTACAAAGCAAACTAGAACTTAGGTTTGAAACAATGGTTTCATTTAAGATCCCATATTCAGTATTCATTAATCGTGTGTGTGTGTGTGTGTGCTTTGACACTGTAGAATTAATTCAGTAAGAAATCTGTTCTTGAAGTAGAAACACTAGTCTCTCTCTAATTAAATATATGAACTTCAAAAAATATCAAAATAGTTTGTTTTACAGAAAAAATGCAAAGATAGTCCAGGAGTTCCTATAAACCTCTAGTTTCCCCTATCAACATCTCATTTAATGTGATATATTTGTTTCAATTAATGAACTAGCATCAATACATTATTGTTAATGAAAGTCCATACTTTATTCATATTTCTTCAGTTTGTACCTAATTTCCTTTCTCTCTTTTAACATCTTATCTAGAATACTGTATGCCATGTCTCCTTTGGCTCCTCTTAACTGGCATTCCTTTCCTTGGATGAGGTAGATAGTTTTGAGTCACAGCCAAGTACTTTATACATTGTCCCTCAACTGAGACTTGAGGAACATTTCACTCCTGATTAGATTGGAATATGGAATTCAGGGCTGAAAATCACTAAAGTAAAGTGCCATTCCCATTATATTGAATAATGGTACATTATCCACAAGTCCTCACTGTTAATGTTACTCCTAATCATCTGGATGAGGTATATTTGTCAATTTTTTCACTCTAAAGATATTCTCTTCTCCTATTCCCATTCTGTTCCCTGAAAGAAAGTCACTATCTGCAACCCACACCTGGGAAGATAAATCTACCTCTCAGAAGGTAGGTCTACACAAATATTTGAAATTCTTCTTTATTGGAGATTTATTTGTTACTTTTCATTTATTTGTTGAATCATCATTTGTTTATATCATCATGGACTGAGATATTTATTTTATACCTTGTGTTATAATCCAATATTGCTTTCTTTATTTTATTTCTCAAGTTTTTCCAGCTTTGGCCATTGCGAACTCATCCAACTGTCTTGAGTGTCCCTTTGCTATATTCTATCATTGAGATTACTTATAATTTTGAGCACTTCCTTATTTTCTGGCATTACAACATGGTTGAGACTTGTCTAGTATACTCTGCTCAGTCATAGAATCATCAATTTCTCTAAGAAGCCAGAGTTCTTTTGTTGAAAAATGGCACTAGGACAAAGATCTCAGCATTAGATACAGCAGTGAACAAATATATGGTGAATGTTTACATTTAAAAAAAAATATTAGAATAAAAGACATTATCATTAATCCCCATCAGATGTGTTTTTATGAGGTGTGATAAAATACAGTGAATGCTGTTGCCTAGTGCCATCCAACAGAAAAGCGGGCTCATAAAAACATTACAGTGTATCCATGTTAACTGGATTTGGCACTACGTGACTTCTGGCTGTTTTCCAAAGTCAAAACGACTATAAAACATAAATGTTTTGAATTAATTCAGGATATGGAGGCAGCCATGACAGTACAACTAAAGACATTCATGAGAGAGGACTTCCACAACTGTTTCAGAAAATGGCAAGAGTGATGGGACAAGTGTGTTTGAAGTGAAGAGGAGTGTTTTGAGAAAGATTAATAGCAAAGTGTCTTTTACTGAAATAATTTTTAAAATTTAAACTTTTATCATACATTTTAATCAATGGATGTGGTTGCTTTAAGTCTTTTCACTTGGCAGAGAAGGGAAATATATGTGTACCTACTAAGTTGGGATGTACACATATGTTTAAGTATTTCCATATGTATCTACCTATATCTGTAGGAAAGTAAATATGAGTTCATAGCTAATAAGGTTCAGAACATGCTGCTCCCAAATATTACAATTGGATATTTGTGAAAACAGCAGAAGGAAGAAAGTCAATTCCATATTCCTTTCACTTCTTTCCTGAAGCAGTAAGTCACTGTCTTACCTTCTCCTGCCCTTCTCCCCTGAAACAGGTCTGTAGACCCTCAGTCCAGAGATAGCATATTTTTACTCAGAGGAAAGGAGTATTCTTGTTTCTGAAGAGGCAGAAAAGAATGTAAGCTAACAATCTTTAAGTTCCTCTCAGGTTATTGCCATTAGACCACATTTCCTTTGTCCAATCATACTTCTTTTTGACTACAGGCTTCTCCACCAAATTTATCAGCATAAAGCAATGCAGAGGCTTACTTGTTTCTTTGGGTCTTCATTTCTAAAGGCTCCCATGTCAAATAAAATGTATATTAAATTTTATACTTTTCTCTTGCAAATCGCTGTTTTGTTACAGGGGCCTCAGACATAAACCTAAAATGGAAAGAAAGGATATTTCTTTTGTCTTGCATACTGGTGCCTCCAATTCTAATCTGGGACCACAGGGATCATTCTAGCCTTCTTGTTTTACTGTAAACTTTTACTTCCACAAGACCCTTTGATCCTGCCATCCACCACGCATTTATGTAACTGAAATGCCATGCAATTCTAAAACTGTATGTACAATCCTTTCAGAACTGTCATTTCCTACTTCTATGGGGGGAAAAACCTGTATCAAATTGAGTATAGTGTTTAAGTACAATTCTATTCATCTCTGGTCTTGTAGTGTCCACCCATTTCCAAAGTTACTTAGGGCAGCACTGTGTAACTCAACACCTCCAGTGAGGTTATTTCATACAAATATCCTTCCCTCACAGACTGTATTTTTATTTCTGGAACTCCCTGGCTTTCCAAATGATTTTTTAAAATTTGCAAACATTAAGGTTAAATCTTTATACTATAAAGTTTAGAGAGTCTGGAAAAAGATGAAGTATCATTTATTCACTCTTACCATATCATGCAAAAGAGTTTCACCATTTAAAAAAGTCCTTTACAGTATTTCATTTCAACCCTCTGTCCCCTCCAAACCCCTCACAGCCACTAAACTATTCATATGGATTTCTTTCACTTGGTAATATGCATTTCAAGTACATCTGTATTTTTACTTGGCTTGATGCTTCATTCCTTTTTATTAATGAATAGTATTCCACTGTGTGGATCTCCAGTTTGTTTGTTCTTTTACATATCAAAGATGACCAGTGCCTTCCAGTCTTTAGTGAGTGTAAAGAAAGGTTTTATTAGTTAGCTTCCTGTTACTTTAATAAAATGCCTGAGATAACCAACTTAAAGAAAAAAAGGTTTATTTTGGTTCACAGTTTTGGAGGTTTAAGTCCATTGCCCTTGGGCCTGTGAAGAAGAGCCGCAGTACATTATGTTGGGAATATATGGGGAAAGAACCTGCTCACCTCATGGGGTCAGGAAATGAAAGAGAGAAAAAGGAAGACACCGATTTCCCACAACCCCCTCTGAGGTCCGCCTTCCCTACCTAACTCCCCTATAACAGGCCCCGTCTCTAAAACTCTCCATCACCTTCCACTTGTGCTGTGTTCTAGGGACCAAAGGTTAACACCTGGGCTTTTGAGCACTTCCCCAAACCATAGTGGAGGTTCTATAGACATTTGCATACAGATTATTGTATGAATGTCAGTTTTTATATTAGTTGTAAATGCACAGGAGCATGATTTATGGACTGTATAAAATTATATTTAGCTTTGTGAGAAATTGCCAAACTGTCTTCCAAAGTAGTTTTAACATTTTTCCTATTAATAAAATGTGAATTTCTGTTGTTCCATATCATCAACAACAGTTAATATTGTCAATTGTTTGAATTTTAGTCATTCTAATACATGTGTAGTAATATCTAAGTTTGTTAATGGCAAATGACGTTGAGAATATGTGTGCTTATCTGACACATATTATTTTTGGTGAGGTGTCTGTTCAGAACTTTTGCTCATTTTAAAGTTGAGTATATTTTTGTTTCCTTCTTATTGAATTTTGATTTGTTTGTACAAAGCTTTTTATCAGATATGTTTTGGAAAGTTTTTCTCTCAAATACAGCAATACATTAAAAGTTAATTTCTACATTAATGAAAAATCCTAAATTTTCTATAAGTAAATGAAAATAGACAGAGTTGAATGTTCAAGAAATAAGCAATTAGATTTGTGAAATTACGTATTTCCTTTCACTTGCAACTGCCTATGGCTCTTAAAATCATAAATGATATCACATCTTTCCTTTTGATTAATGTCTCAGAAGCAGAAGCCTTAGTTTGTGTAGCCATTTGTCTGTATATCTTGCTGACTGCATTTGTCTTACTGCATTAAGGTGGCAGTACTTCCTCCCATCCCTATGGATATTCAGACCACTAGTGGTATAGCACTATTCCTTAGCTGTGGTTTTATTTTCCATGGTTTCAATTATTCATGCTTAACTGTAGTCCAAAATGTTAAGTGGAAAATTCCAAAATAAGCAATTTGTAAGCTAAATAAATTTATTACAATGTATTATAATAATTATTTTTTAAATTATTGTTAATATCTTACTGTGTTAATTTGTAATTTAAAGTTTATTATTTGTATGCATAGGAAAAATATAGAACAACTGAGCCTCCATATCCATGGTTCTGTTGCAGATTCAACCAAATATGGGAACAAAATAAAGTATAAAAAAATTATATCTTCACTAAACATATAAGAAATTTTGTCATTATTACAACACAAATAATATCCAATAAATAATTATTCACATAGAATTTATATTCCATTAGGTATTATCAGTAATCTAGAGGTGATTTAAAGTATACAGGAGGTCGTGCATAGGTTACATGCAACTACTGCATCACTTTGTATAAGGACCTTGGTCATCAACGGATTTTGATATCTGAAGGAGCAGTGGCATCCTGGAGGGGCGTCCTATGCGAGGATCAAGGGCTGACTGCAATTTCATTCCCATTTGCTAGTATCCATATGAAAGTAACCCATTCTTCTCAACATAATATAATGGGGAAACGTGCTGGCTTGCTTTAGGGAAGGAGTTTTCTCCTTTATAACACAGAGGGAAACATGGAAAAAAAAACATTGCTTTTTCACTTCTCTTCTTGTTTTGGATGCTCTCATCTGAGACGAAGGTGAATCCTATAGCTTCCAGCCATCTTGCAACTAAGAAGTGACAAGTTTGAAGATAAATGTCAATATGCTGAGAATTGTGAAAGAGAAAAATGAAATGAAGTTGGGTTCTTGATAACTTTATTGACTCATGAAGCCAATTCTGGAAAATTTACTTCCAGATGCCTTGCTTTAGTGAAAATTAAATGTCTATTATCAAATCAGTGCTTTTCAGTTTTTACACATGTGACTATATATAAAACCATACTTGCTTGGCACATCAGAGTAAACAGGTCATCCCACAGAGAGACACATTACTCAGGGACTTTAATTGCCTTATGCGGCCTCTCTTGGCCACCATAAAGGAGCATAATATCAGCAACTTGCTACCTACAACCATTCATGGCACACTCACTAGCACACTGGGAAACTCCAGTTTCAGACATACTCTGTACCAAGCTATTGAATATATCTTAGCTAAGATATATTCTAAATGCCTATTTAAGCCCATAAAAGTATTTCTTCTCAGTAAGGCCAACTAACTGACTCAATGATGACTAACCGATCAAATGATGTCTGGTAAAAGTAGGCCCATGTTTGCAATACTCATGACCCAATTTGAGCAGAGTTTGAAAAGATCTGGGTCTTCTGAAATATATCCTGGTGAACTGAGATCAAAAAGAGATAACATATCTATCTCTGTACTCCTACCATAGTTTTAACTAAACCATTTTGGCATGTTATGATATGCCAATATATTTACAGGTCATAGTTTTACAGTAAAAAACCTTAAAGTGTACAGTTACTATTTGAACAGCTGGATCTAATTCACAGTATGGAAATTACACTCA